TGGGCTCTATTTATCCATCCATCCATTCCAATAGCATGTGAGTGACTGTTATGAAAATAAATAGATTCATTGTTGATATGTTCTCTCTCTCCCTCAGCCCCCACCCCTTTGTCTTGTAGTGATGAGGATAATTTATCAGCGATTAAGGTGTTTATGTTTTACACTGAGGAAAAGTTAGAGCATCAAGATTAGTTACTTCATCTTCTTGGAGTCATACGAGCTCCTAGATAGAAGAGTTGGTTGGAAAGAATAAAAATAATAATACCTAGCTCTTATATAGCATGTTTCATTAGTAGATCTCAAAGTGCTTAACAAATGTTATAATCCCCATATTACATAGTCAATCTTCATTTTGGCAATTCCTACCTTTTGAGTAGCTGACTTTTCAGCCTAAACATTTTTAATGCAATTTTGGGTAGGTAATTTCTTAGGTGTTTAAAACAGCATACTAGGGGAAGAAAATAGACATCTCATCATGTGGGGACCATACTGACTTATCAACATAGTTAGGACATTTAATGATATCCACAGCACAGACCTCTGCCACTGGAACAATCAGAGTAGTTAATGTGGGCCAACCAGTTACAGGAAACAAAGCACACATTTTCCATCTGGGTTGCACAAATAGCTGGTGAACAATAGCCCAGAAATATTGAAACTCAGGTTCCAGTCTAAATTCTTAGGGAAGTACATTTCAGTGATTACAGACCCTTCTGTCCCTAGCTCCTCCAGCCTATTCTTTTCTAAGTCTTTTCCCTCCACCCCTTTGTCTCATTGTCCCAACACGTCCCTCTTCAGCTCTTCAGCTCAGTCTCTTCTCCTCTCCCTTTGCCTCAATTTTCCTCCTCTCTACCCTCTAGGACCAGCTCTTTGCATTTTGCTCCTCTGCCTTCTCCTCCTCCTCATTGCCTGGGTGCCAGTTGGGCCTGAGGGGACTGAGAAAATGGAGAAACAGTCTTCCTGCTCTTGGTTCCTGTGCATGGCACCTCAGCTGTCCCTGGCTGCCATGAGGAGCAATTGCAGTGAAAGTCATGCTCAACTCCACAGCTCTGATATGAAGCATGCTCAGCAGGGATGGAATCTTCAGAGAATTTAGTTACATATCAAGCCTTTACTGAGCCCTAGTGTGAATAAACTGAGATTTACAGAACCTTATAAGTGGGCCAAATTTGGGCAGAATTTCATGATACAGTCCCCGACACAGGTGATCATCCTAAATTTCAAGTCCCTCCCAGAAGCATGGAAGCACTAGAGCATCTCAACAAAATGGCTGTAAGCATTTTTTTTTAACCTGGAGGAAAACAATCTCATTTCCCCTAACCTTGTTCTGAGAAATGACTGGATAGTTTTTGTTGAATTTTCAAAATAGTCAGTCTGAGGCAGAAATCTGTTATGGAAAATTGAAGCCCAAATGGTTAAAATTTGGTAAAGATATAAGCGACTGAAAATGGGATCTTACAATGGAAAATGTTGAGCAGCTACTATGGATAGGCACATTCAAACTTTACCTCCATTTTAGCATTTTTTGGTCTATGAATTAATAGGTGGAAAACTGAGCCAATTTCCCTATAATAAATAAGAGATATATTTTCTTTTTTGGGGGAGGGTGCAGAAAATTAGTGAAAAAGGTACAGATGCATAATTATCATATTTTTATTGTGCCTAAGTTGCTGTGTCTCATGCCATCCAATCTGTGGGAAAAACAAGTTATAAGAAAACATACATACAGGATGTGGCTTTGAAAAGCCAATTTAGTGGTTTAAAAGCCATAGTTTATGTGCTAGAGAAGATGCATAGAATTATACATTTTTATGTGTGCCTGCAAATGGAACTAAAGTTCAAGGTATGTGGAGTATAACATGAAGCTACGCAATCTACCATTTTCAAGTTGCTTTTTTACGCTTGGAAATCCACTGTCATGTTTATTGTATATTATGCCACACTATGCTGCAGAGGTCTGCCAATAGCATGTTATTTCTGGAACATTAATTTACAATGTGTAGGTACAGCAACACTTCAGTAACTGTGTAAAGGCCACATGAGAATTTCCTGAACCTCCTACACAGTTAGATCCCACAGCACTCCATAGCAACAATACTGGGAGGGCTGAAATCACAATCTCCAGGGTGCAAAAGCTATGTACTGTATGTCTCTGTATGTGTGAAACTGCTGCTGGTATGTACCAACACCTATGGAGACCCTGCCTCACTACTAGCAGTTCCTTGTAATGGCTTCCTGCATGACTTCTTGAGCCCTGTCCCTGCTCCCTCACATAGTATTTGGAATAAAATGGCTTACTCTGCAAGGTCCTGATGTGGTAAAACTTCTACATCTGCACCTATTTCATAGCAGGTTATGCTACACCCATATTCTCTGTGGTGAATTACTTTGTTCTTTCAGGACACAATGTAGTACTTTGGCTTTTCTCTTCTGCCCACCTTCACATGTCATCTAACACCATTCCCATTTTTGGACTTCGCAGATATTCTGCAAGGAACCATTTCTGTAATGTAATTTGATAGGCAACATAACCAATAAGAGATTTGGGGCTTCACTTGGGCTTTTAAGGTAGGATTTGTGTTAAGTTCCAATGTTTTTCTCGCCCTGTGCCATGCAAGTAAAGGGAGAAGAAACTCCCTTGTCTTTAATGTACATATCTGACCTTTTAATACCTGATAGTAGGTGCATTCAATTTCATATAGCCTGGAGGAAGGTCTAGAAATGCCATTTCCCTTTGTGCTAACTAACCTCAGGTTGCTATTCCTATGCATTTATTAAATGTAGATTGGCTTTTTGATGTTCTGTAAAAGCAAAGGGCATTGAGAAGGATTTGTCTTTTTCAACACATGAACTGTTATGACACTTAAGAAAGGCAAACACCTTTTGTTAGTATTGAGTAAACCTTTGCATATAGACTATGTAAGCTAGTCTAGTGAGACTTTGGGGTTTCTTTACTTGATATTTCTAAGGTCTATTCATGCAAGGTTTAAGTGAAGAATACTATAGTGATCTACACCTTAGAAATATTTCAGATATTTAAAATTATCAGGTAGTTTGTTCCTTACAAAAGATGAAAATTGCAGCTTTATACAAAGCCTCTGCTGCTTTTGCTCACTGCTGCTAAAAAAGTTGCACCTTGATGTCACCATTTCTTCTTTATATTTCCTAGCACAATAATCTCAAGACTCTATCAGTGAAATGAAATTGGTAGGTTAATTGTTTAATTTAAAAATAAAAATGCCTATCTCCACCTTACAGACTCATCAGAGGGTAGGCTACAATTAGTTAATGAGGGTATTGAAATACCCCAAAATGAATATTATATTTTTTTCTGTGTCTTAAATCTTCATACTATAATTGTACTCAGAATATCCCATACCACTTTAAGATCCCATCTTTAACTGCCAATCAGTATCTCTACTGCCACATCTTCCTCTGAATATGGTTCTTTCATACACAATCTGCCATCTATTTCTGTTCACATCAAGACCACGTTTTGAGTACTTGAGAAACAGCACACATGTACTGCTATAATTTCACTCCACAATATAACACTGCTAGTGAATTACTTAGGACCTGATCCTGCAAGATCAGTCTGTAATCATTGGGAGTTGTTTTCATTTAGAGAGGTCTTCTAGTAAAATACATTTACTTACAAAGCAAATAGGTGGCAGTGCTGAAAAACTAACACTATTTTGAACTCACTACAAATAGAATATAGGTGGTCAACTGTATTGCAAACTTCTACAGACTGCCTTGTCAATGACCTTCCTATTGCTCCTGTTTGGCACTAATTCACTTTTTACTATTCCAACTCTCCTAGCTGCTCACTCTGAACTAAACTTGGTTCCTATAGTTAACCACATTTTTGCTAGAGGTTACAAAAAAAATCACTTTCTAGTAATGGTTGAATTTGAGAGCAACAAACTCATTTCACCTATAACCAAGCCAGAACTTACTCCCAAGAGTGTGCAGCAATCTCTTAATTGATTAATCCTAGCCCCAATGCTTTAACATTTTTTGTTTTTCTCAAGCAATACATTTCAAAATCATCATACGCAGGCTTTTCATAAAAACGAGAATCAGAATATAGTAAGACGTAATAGAACTCCAAAGGGATTTTTTTCTTTTGCTCATTGATGAGCAAGCAAATTATTTTAAATATATAAATACCATCCCCACTAGAAATGAAATACCAAGTCCACCAGTTGCAGATCAGGGAATTAAAATGGAATGAAACTTGAAAGTATCATTTCTCTGTAAGCTTATCTTTCAAGTTGTTGCCAGGACAGTAAGTCAACCTGTCAGACTAACAGAAGAAAGTGACCTCAACAAGCACCATCAACTCTGGAGCTGCACAATTAAATTGAACCATTTTTATTCCTCCCACATTGGAGGCAAAGTCATAAAACTGTCTGTTTTTCACTAAGCCTTTTGTCCCTCTTCCTTTCAGAGGAGTCTTCAGCACTGACACTGAGTTTCTAGTGCACTTCAGAAAAACGAAGCAAAAATAAGGGATTTGACAAAAATCTCAACTTCCCTTCTTTTGCCTTTTATCACAATATCTACGTATCTGCTATTCTCCCCTCACTATATCAATGTGTGTGTATTAATCTTCCCTTTCCCCTCTTTTATTCTTTAATGTGTTTTTCTTCACAATGGCAGAGTTTAGCTCCCTGACTCCCTCCATCACACCCATTTCCTCATCCCCTCCCCAAATAAGCCTGAGAGAGGGCAGGGGCGTGCAGGGGGCTTTGCGTCAGACTCTTTGGTGAATGAGCTGCCTCAGGCGGGGCTGCTGCTCGCTCCTTCAAGGGGAGAAACTGGTGCAGTAATAAACTGTCAGCAAGTCATTAAATCCCACTGATGCTTTGTGAGCCCCAATCCCACAATGCCACCCAGAGACATAGTCAGCCCCCCAGTGCAGGGGATGGGGAACGGGGTGAGGGGTACAGTGAAGGGTGAGGTGGTTGTAGATAGAACTGGATGTCTCTCTGTACCTGTTTTGAGTGCTGCAGGCAGGGTTTCTTCAACAGACGGTGCCCTCCTCCTCCCTCAGCCTCAGCAGCAGCGAGTGTCTGAGAGCAGGGAACTGGCTTTGTTACTACTCTGGAGCCCTGGATCAGTGCCGTCGCTATAGAAACTGGCTGCAGCCTGAAGTGACACTGACAAGTGGCAGGGGGACTGAGCTGTTCATTCAGGAATATCCTGGTCTCCTCCTACTGCAGCCAAGCCCAGGGAGGGAAAGGGTCTGACACCCCCTCCCCCAGTTACACTTTGCCTCTAGGGGGCCCAACCCAAAGATGCTTCTCCCCCTTCTCCCTCCTCTTCTAGGGGGCAGTCAAGCACAGAGCATTACTCCCCTCCCACATCCCTTCCTCATGTCTGATGTGCTGGAGGGCACAGTTTGAGGGGAGAGTCCTTTGTTCACTTTTTGCTATCAAACTGAAGGGAAAGTTGGAATTCTCTCTGTGCTACAGAGGAACTCACTCCTTTCTGTGTGCTGCCAGAGACAGCTGATCTTGGGGGGCTCACAAAAGAGAAAATGTTGGACTTGTAGAAGGAACAGGGTGCACAAAATGGTGGGTATTTACTAATACTCCTCAGAGGTGAAACACCTTAAAATCCAGCAATGCATTTTAAACCCTTACCCCTTCATATTATTCAGGGTGAACAAGGCACTATACTATCCATTGGTTACAGGGTTTTTCAGAACCACAGTATAAAGATGTCCAACACAGGCTGTGTTAGCTAATTGGGAGGCCTTAAGCAGGAATATTTTGGGCCCTCCCACTCAACACAATAAAAAAGCAAGTAGGGGATTTCCTTGAGCTGCTCAGGACCCTAAGCAATTGCTTAGTCTTCTTATGCCTAGCACCAGCTCTGATTTCCAGCAGCAGCAATTAATACAAGTGGATATGTTTTTGCTTAAATGGCCTAATGAATCATTCACCCATCCCTTCACCCCTCCTGGAGGCTAGTGTGAGCAGATATGGATGGACACACACAGTACATGAGGTTTGTCACATTGTGGGGAATTCTTTTGTGGGAGTAGATCTTTATTCTTGAGGGGAGCCCAGCAAAGGGTATCACTCATTTGTTATTTTTAATAATAATCATGTTCATTAGGATAATGACTAAGGACTAACCAAGAAGTGGGCCCCATTGTGCTAGATGCTGAACAAACATAGACTAGTAAATGCTCCCAGCCTCAAAGTGCTTACAATCTAAATAGCTCAGGCAGACAGAATAGAGAAAGCACAGACCAGCTGCAGAGTGAACTATGTAATGGCAGCAAGTGTTGTATTAGTTCCACTATTTATATTTTTAGGAGAAGGGTTTTTAGTATCAGTAAGGGGGCTAGGTTAAATGGAAAGGAAGCGAAAGGGGGTAAGGAGGCTGGTGTGGAGTGAAGCTGAGTTGAAGAGACTGAGGGAGGAGGAGGTTTGGAACACACAGCCAATCAGCGTTGGGCAGAGAAAGTTCAATCAAAACTGGAAAGTTCTCTGAATATCCAAAGATCCCTGCTCTGGCTGTTTAGGCAGTTGCTGCTACTGGCTGGGGTCTTTGGCTGGTTCCTTCCAGCAGTTTTGACTTCTAGGCCCTATGGGTGTATCTCTCAACATTCCAGGTGGCTGCAGAGGAGTTTCCCAATGTCAGCAGAGCAGTTCCTCAGCATAGAGGCTGCTGAGTCTAGCCCAGGGGCAGCTGGGGAAATCCCAGGCATCACTGCCAATCAGGGGTGGCCCAAGATGAGCTGCTGGCAACTGATGCCCCAGGCAGAATGTGCGATCAGCACCCCCGACTCCAAGACAAGCTGCCGGCAACTGGAGCCCTAGGCAGAATGCGTGATCGGCGCCCCCGCATCGAAAGCCCTCAATGGCAGTACGTCATCATTGGGCGCCCCGTTTAATTCGGCGCCCTAGGCGACTGCCAAGTCTGTCTGTATTCATGGTCCGCTCCTGCTGCCAGTCCCTGCAGAATCATCAAGGATGCAGTGACTGGCTCTAGTGACTGTCCTGTTGGGTCTATTCTGCCATGCTCAGCCCCTGCCTTCAATTCAGGCAGTATCACTCTCCATCCCTGATCTCCATTAAAGCCACTGAGCTGCCTAGGGGAGTTGAGCATTTCCAGGAACAGTTGAAGCCCGGGCCCTCCCTCGCCACCAATATTACACACTGCATGTGAGGTGTGTAAGGCTGTGTGTGTCACAGAATCTGGGAAATATTCTGTGTCAACCAGGCCAGAGGGTTTGGGGAGTCACAGTAAGATAGTGCTGTATAACCTGGGACTAGAGGTGGAAGTATGAATGGGGGTGGTGTATGCAGGGGAGGCACTATCTATACCCTAGTGCCTTCAAAGTGGATGGGGATCTCCCCTGCACAGTTCTGCGGCTAGAGATGTGATCTGAGGGAGAAGTAGCTCCAGTTACTCTCTTCCCTTCCCAGTTCAGCAGTTGCCTTGCTGCATGTTGGTGGTATTAGATGCTTCCATCACATGTTTGGTGATAGCAATGCCCAGTAATCTCTCCTTCCTGCCAAACTTCTGGCTGACTCCTATCTGCTCTTCCCACACCTCCCCAAGATCACAATGTGGGAGAGGCCCTACCTGGGTCCTACTGTCCCCAAAATGAGGAATGCCTCTTCACCCTTTTGGGTCTGGTGTGTTCACATGTGTATGCCCGGGGCAGGGGGTTACATTTCCATGGGAGCCTACAGTCTATGTGAGGGGTCACTCACCACCACAGAGCAGTGCAATGAGAGCCAAAGGGAAGTCAAGGGAAATTCCTTTTCTTCCTCCTGTGCATCCTCCTCCTCTTCCTCCACAAATCGTTCAATCCAGTCCTGACTCCAGTTTATGGAGCATGCTCTCTCCTTTTATTTTCCCCTTTGAAAAGATCTTTTCTTCTCTCCCTCTTCTCCCAAGCAAATGGAAGTTGATAATCATCCTTCTTGAATGAAAGATGGACTTTCTTTTCTCTTTTCTCTTTCCTTAGTTTATATTGATTAACTGCTCTCCTAAGTTTGCCAAATATAAGAAACCTAACACACAAGATACAACTCTCAAGCTATATTATCAATCTTAGCTGCTGTCACTGCTAAACTACTGGTGATGACTACTAAGTATCAGCCTTGCAAGTCACTGTGAGTGGATGACTCTGTGCCAAGAGGTGCCTGCTCATTTCAGCCCATGCTCCTCAGAAAAAGTTTGGCAAAGACAAGAAAGCTCTTCCTCTCCCTCATGACTTCCTCACAAAACATGGGGCAAAGCAGAACTTCTGACAGATTATAAAACAGTAACAGCAGGAGGAAAGAAGGAGAGTGGGGCAGAGTTGTTATGAAGGATTGGGGTCGCCATCTACCTACCTACCTAGTATGCCTTTTGAATACCAAACCTAGAGTGAGACAAATTCATCTGATCAGAGGCTGAATGGAGTTGCTTTTTTACATTAAAGAACTACTTTGAACTGAAGTTCAAAGTATAAGGTAAGAAAATGAGGGGCATGTTGATCCTCACAGCATAGGTGATATTTTGCTTATTAATTCCCCATTTGCTGCAGTATTTTTACATACATTTTGGTCATTTGCAATTTAACTATATTTTTTAATTAGAAAGTTAAAATGCAATTCGTTTCAGATTAACACAGTAAAATGTTAAGAATGTGAATATTGGTTTGTAATAACCAGGTCAATTAGTCTAAAGGAAGAAACCTGATATCAGAAATAGGATACCTGTTCATTTCAGTTATAAAAGAACCTGCCAAACAGTCTACAGCCACTCTCCGAGTTACGAATAAGTTATGGACCAACACTTGGTCCGTAACTCAAACTGTTCGTAACTCGGACCCCATTGAGTTACACGCGACGGTGCTGTTCGTAAGCACGTGTCGCGTTCGTAACTCGGGGGCCGCCTTTACGACCACTCCATGGGAGCTTTGGTCGTAAGTGTGAATGGTTGTAACTCGACCGTTTGCAACTCGGGGAGCGGCTGTATTGGGAATGTGATTGTATCTAATGATTTTCTCCATTTGCCCATAGAGTTAGAATTTGTTAACCACTGGGAATGTGATTGTATCTAATGATTTTAACCCATATGATTTTCTCCATTTGCCCATAGGAGTTAGAATTTGTTAACCATTGCCACATTTCCCTCTTTTACATATGAACAGGAAGGGCTAGAAAAAATTATAGAAAAGAGAACACCCTTGAATCCAATACAGTATTTGGGCACCGATAACACCTCAAAAGTAGCATTTTCAATCTTTACTTTAAAAAGACCGGGTCTGTTCAGCTTGGAAAAGATAAGGGGTGATATGGTAGAGGTCTATAAAATCATGAATAAGGTGGAGAAAGTGAATAAGGAAATGCTATTTACATATCCTTCACATAACATATGAACCACGGCCACCTAATTAAATGAATAGGCAGCAAGGTTAAAACATACAAAAGGAAGTACTTCACACAATGCACAGTCAACCTATGGAACTCACTGTCAGGGGATGTTGTGAAGGCCAGATCTATAACTGGATTAAAAGAAAAAAATTAGATAGGCTCATGGAAGATAGCCATGCATGGACCCTATTAGCCAAGATGTAAGGGATGCAACCGCATTCTCTGGGAATCTCTAGGGGCTTGTCTCCACTACCGGTGGGATTGACGTACAATGATTGACTCTCCAGGAGTTGATTTAGTGGGCCTACTGAAGACTCACTAAATTGACTGATGATTGCTCTTCCATCAACTCCAGTACTCCGTTGCATTGAGAAGAGTAATGGAGTCGATGGGAGAGTTTCTCCCATTGACCCAGCACCGTGTGAACCTGACAGTAAGCTAAGCTGTGTTGACTAGACTTATGCTACTAATGTAATTCAAATTGCTTAGATTAGATCATCTTTTCCCTGTAATGCAGACCAGTGTTCCCTGTAAACTATGTGCTTGAGCAGCCAGCCAGGAGTGATTCAAATGCTGCCCAGTTCATTAGCAGAGCACCCCAGAACTCACAGCTGGGAGAATGTGTTTCTACTGGTGTTACACATCTGCACATGCGTTGGTGCACATAACAAAATGTATTCTCCACATGGATGGAAAAAAATAGAAGGAATGTTGGTGCAGGCCTGCTCTTAAAGCCTCTGACTGCCAGATGCAAGGTATAGATAACAAAGGATAGATCAGTTGATGATCGTCTTCCTCTCTTTATTCCCTTTGAAGCATCTGGCACTGGCCACACTCAG